CCCTGACACAGTATCCCATTTTCCACAAGGCAGTGAGGTCACCAGTGAACCCAAGCCCACGCAGGTCACATTACGATCCCAGATTCCCGTCTTTGAGTGGTTTCCCACAACTGCTTCTACTATCAAGGATTCTATCAGCAAGTATCCCGCCAGGAAAACAAATCATTCTAGATCTGTGCTGTCCAATATGGCAGCCATTAACCACATGTGTCTATTCACATTTATATTACCAGGATTAAATGAAAGGAGAGGTCTGGTCCCTCAGTCACACCAGCCACATTTCAGGAGCTCAGTAACCACACACAGCCGGCAGAGACTGCATCGGCTAGCGCAGCTAGGACAGCCCTGTCATCACAGAGCATTCTGCTGGACAGTGCTGCCCTAGATTATTCCAAGCGGAAAGAGATTTAGTGCAGAAGATCATTTTCAAAACTGGTGGGCACATGGGGGTAGGCCAGGGAGGGAAGGGCTTAGAAGGCCTAGAGGAGAAGAACGGGGACGGGGAGGGTGCAGCTAGCCTGGCTGAAGCCTGCTGAGTAGGAACTGGCCTCCTAGGGGCGCTGCGGCTGAGCAGGAACGGCCGTGGAGGAGGACCCCCAGGCTGCTGCTGCTGCAAGTGCACCACAAAGCAGGGCAAGACAAAGGCTTCTTCCGTCTGCACGCTTCCCAGTCTCCTGCCAACACCTTCTCTCTCACCAGGGAGTCTGAAAAAAAGTGCTTCTACCTTTACTGTCCTACTGAAGAAGGCAAAGAGGGTGGGAATGGATCATACAACAAAGAACTGCAGAGGGAGGCTTTGTCAATCGTGTGATCCGGACAGGGGACAGGTGCCAGGGCCCCTGACCTGCTGCTTATACTCATCCCCTTATCTCCTGAAAGTGTTCCCTACCTTCTGTGTTCCAGTCACATTGAATCGCCTCTGGACTACTCCGGCACCTTGCAGTGTGAGACCTGGCTCCTGGCCTGGCCTGGCCTGTTGTGGAATTTTTTTTTTTTTTTGAATGAACAAGAAGAGCGAAGATCTCTTTCTGTCTGTCAGTCTGTCTTTCAAATAAATAAATCCCTATCTATTAAAAAAAAAAAAAGCAATGATCTGTGTTTATTTTCTGTCTCTACTCACTAGAACGTAGACTCCAAGAAGACAAGGGCCCGGTGCTGTTCAGGGCTATGTTCTCAGCACTGGAATGATGCCTGGCATACAGAGGCACTCAATAAATAAATATTATCTGGATGAAAGGCTTTTGTCCATCTTTCAGGTCTGAATATTTCCTGTCTCCCTAGCTGGGTGAGGGAATTGTGCTACATGTTCCCACAGAACCCATACCTCTCCCATTGTAGTGCTTAAAACAACTGTAGTTACTTGCATCTGATTCCTTGCTGGACTGTAAACTCATTGAGAGCAGGAACCGTATCTGTATGTTTCCCAGTTGAGTCCCCAGTGCCTCCCTGGCCACTGCATCCGGGACATGGTTAAAATCGGAAGTCACCTGGCAGGCTTGGTCATCACACTATTATGTCAGAGTTTGGGAGATCAGTGATGGATGCATAGAAACGAAGCAAAAGAAAACAAGGCAATGATGAACTCCAGCAAAATCTAGGATCTCTCTTAAAATGTTATTTCTAATTAACACTAACAATTAGACATTTATATGAGATACTTCAATTTCAATGCATGTATACATTGTATAATGTCTAATAAGAGTAAACATGTCTCTCTCCTCAAACATTTAACATTCCTTTATGATGAAACATTGAAAACCCTTTCTTCTAGTTTTTTTTTTCTTTTAAAGAAAAACACACTACTTTATCACTATCTACAGGAGGGAGAGAGAGAGAGAGAGAGAGAGACCTTCCATCTGCTGTTTCACTCCACAAATGGCTGCAAGAGCTAGGTCTGGGCCAGGCCAAAGCCAGAGGCCAGGAATTCCATGCTGGTCCCCCACCTGGGTGGTAGGGGCCCACATACTTGGGCCATCTCTGCTGTTTTCCCAGAAGCTGGAACAGAAGCAGAGTAGCTGGGACTTGGACCATCACTCAAATATGGGATGTTGGCACCCCAAGAGGCAACTTAGCTCACTGTACCACAACACCCGCCCTGCCCTGGCCTGCTATGGACTTTTTTTTTTGGAATGAACAAGCAGAGGGAAGATTTCTTTCTGTCTGTCAGTCTGTCTTTCAAATAAATAAATAAATACCTATCTATTTAAAAAAAAAAAAAAAGCAATGATCTTCTGTGTTTATTTTCTGTCACTGTGCTTGGCTTATTCACTTAACATAAAGACTTCCAGTTCCACCCACGTGGTTGCAAATGATGAGATCTCATCCTTTTCATGGCTGACGAGTATCCACTGTGTCCCACATTACGTGCCACGTTTTCTTTATCCATTCATCAGTGGATGACACGGAGGTGGTTTCAATTCTTTGGCTACTGTGAATAGTGCTGCAATAAACATGGGAGTACAGGTGTCTGTCCACAGACTGATCTCACTTCCCTTGCATGCACATTCAGTGGCAAGACTGCTGGGTCATATGGCAGTTCTATTTTCAGAGTTTTGAGGACCCTCCATGCTGTTTTCCACAATGACGGTATTACAACTCCTAACAAGAATGGAAATACAATCACAGAGCCCTACAGAGCTTGACTGTGGAGAACATTTACACGGTCATAATCAGGGCCAATGGGACTGTGTTAGTTATACTAGACTTTATTAGTTGTTCAAAGGTTGGAGTATTTCTCTACTGGTTAGTAAACAGCAGCTTCCCTGAGTACACTGCTACCATTGCTCTGGGGGCCTCAGCTCCCTATCTTAGAACCCCCTAGAACTTCCCAGGATCTAGCAGCTAAAGAGATAATACCTGGCATAGCCAGGAGCTCCAGAGCCCTGCTCAAGAGGCTGGCATCTGTTCAGATCAATCAGTTCCCATGCCAATAAGCAGCCATCCGTCCCTCCTGGGCTCTGCCTTCGGCTCACCCGGAAGAATTACCTTAGCCTTTCTTGCCATACCTCCCTGCCCAGGGAGCCCCTCTTTGGAAACATCCAGAGACTTCAGTTGCCCATTAGCTGGCCTGCCCAGCTTCTCCACATCAGCTCCCATCCCAGTGTTTTCCACCTGCTTCCTGCAAGGCTCAGACCTCACCAGGAGAGACAGCAGCCCTGGAGGGGATGTTGACACATCAGAGGCAAGTTTTTTTTTTTTTTTTATGTTTTTGACAGGCAGAGTGGATAGTAAGAGAGAGAGAGAGAGAGACAGAGAGAAAGGTCTTCCTTTGCCATTGGTTCACCCTCCAATGGCCGCCGCAGCTGGCGCACCCCGCTGATCCGAAGCCAGGAGCCAGGTGCTTCTCCTGATCTCCCATGTGGGTGCAGGGCCCACGAGCCTGGGCCATCCTCTACTGCACTCCCTGGCCACAGCAGAGAGCTGGACTGGAAGAGGGGCAACTGGGACAGAATCCGGGGACCCGACTGGGACTAGAACCCTGGGTGCTGGTGCCACAGGCGGAGGATTAGCCTACTGAGCCACGGAGCCGGCCATGGTTCACTCTCCAAATGATCTCAACAGCCAAGACTGGGCCAGGTTGAAGCCAGAAGCCAGGAACTCCATTCAGGTCTTGCAGGAGGATGGCTGGGGCTTACACACTTGAGCCATCACCTGCCTCCCAGGCTGCATTAGCAGGAAACTAGATCAGAAGCAGAGCAGCCAGGACTCAAGCTGGCACTCAGATATGGGATGCAGGTATCCCAAATGGTGGCTTATCACTCTGTGCCACAACACTTGCCCCAGAAAATATATATGTTTTAAAGACTAGGGTGAGCAACATACACTAATATACTTATTGCATCATTATTGGGAAACGTGAAAAGTTGGAAAGCAACTAAGATTTCCATCAGGAAAGAACACTTAGGGGAAAGATGGCACTCACCCAACGGAACACAAATAAGCAGACGGGTTTAGAAGTTCCATTTCCAAGGGAATGGTAAAGGTCAGATGTGGGCAAGAGTGTAAAAGCACAGTGGGCAATATGTCAGCCCCCACAAGGGCTCAGGAAGGGAGCTATCACAGGTTGGGCACTTCCCTCCTTCAATTCCAACTGCAAAGCCCTGCGGGACATGTGGCTTGGAAGTGGAGGAGCTGAGACTCCAAGCAGCCCAGCGGGAAGGCGGGGCAGCGATGTTTTCCTCTGCAACATGAGGAAGCCCATGTTATCCCCGGGAAGCCCCTTTCGTACGCTACGACCCCTGGTGTCTTTCCTCAGTCGTGGGGGAGTAGGGCCACATCTGTGTGAACACCAGGGACTGGCAAAGCAGCAGAGTGGGAAGAATTGAATGAGATAATACCGAGCAACAAGAAACAGAGTAAGTACTTAGGAACAAAAGCAAGCCAAAGCAAGTACGCTCAACAGCAGGAAGGGACGAGGAGAAATAGAACAGTGTGTGATGGGGGACTGTCTCTGTTTTGGGAGGTTCCATTCTTGTCACTGAGTTATTTTCACCATCACAACCAATTCGCAATGAAAGATGGAAACCCTGAGAAAATGTGAGCCCCTGGAATCCAGCCTCAGCTCTCGGCCCTACACTGCCACGCGGGAGGCAGCACGCGTAAAGAAGAGGCTGGCTCTTCTGGACCAAGAGGGCTGGAGAACGACGCAGCGTGCGATCCACGCCAAGCAGCTTGGACACTTTGCCGCCATGCGCTGGTGTTGGCATCATCGCCGCATCTGTTGGTAAGCTCCCACCTGGGCCAGAGGGGGCGTAGCTGTGACTGGCACTTCCCAGTGCAGGATTCTTCATGTCTGGTGTCGGTGCTGTCCTCTGCTCCTTCCTTGTTGGCTCTCCTGGCCGGGGCTTGGCCTTGGCCTTGCTGGAGGAAGGGCCAGTTTTGTATTCTCTCTGATGGGGAGGCAGAGACCAAGGTGACCTGAGCCAGCAAAGAGAGCAGCGGAAGAGCAACATCGCTGCCTGGGGTTGCAGGGCTGGGTCCAGTGATTTTCCTTCTGTTCGCGCCCACACCCCAACAGCTCATTCGCTCTTATTCTGCCCTTCAGACCCCCTTTCCTTTCCAGACTTCACATGCGTGTGCCCAAGCCATTCCTTCCATGGGGACATGGGCAGCTTTTAATACCCTGCCCAGCCTTTAATACCACTTCCTCGAGGAACCTTTTCCCAGTCTTCTTTTGGGGAATGAATCATTCCCTCCTCGGGCTCCCAAAGCACTTGATTTGTATTTTTCCTATGGTAATTGTATTTTTCTGCAGTACCGTAGGGTTATTTATGGCCGTGTCTGTTTCTCCCACTGAATGGGGAACTTCTTGAGGTGACCAAGGTATACGTCTCCTCCAGCTCCGATTCCCCACACAGCAGGGCCAACGTCTGGCCCATGGTGGTGGGCGCTCAGTCAACATGTGGAGTGGCATTAAATTACAAAGGCTGAATTCTTTCTCTTTATATATCATGGGCTCTTCGGGAAAGCTGCTGAGATTATAGGCAGCTGACCAATTGGTTTTATGTCCATTTCTTTCCTGTGCATTTCAAAAAAGGAAGAGAGTTAAAGCTATCCGAGGGTCTATATTCCAGAAACACCAGCCAGGGCTCCATACAGGGGCAATACTATGAATAATAGCTAACACGTGCAGGGCCTCTTCCTTACGTGTTCCCACCCAGTAACTCCACGGAGTCTCGCAAGGACTCCAACAAGCAGACTGGCTCCGCAGTACTTGGCTTGTTCCAGTGTCATGGCGGAGAGAAGCGGTGCTCAGAAAACTGAAGCAATTCGCTCCAGGTTACATCAACTCAAAGGACGGTTCGGACTCAAACCCGGGCCTGTCGACTCCAAATTCTATGCTCTTGGGATTGCTGAGGTGGCCAGAGCACAGGCACCGCTTGCTTTCCCTTAACCAAGGTTTGCGGAAGGAAGGACGGAAGTTTACTCCATGGGGGTGTACTTGCCTCGGGCCCTGCTGTTACTTTCAGACCTGTTTACCTACTTCTAAAAGGGTTAAGGTCTTCAACGGCAGATACCATGCCTTCTCATTTTTTTTTTTCCTCCAAAGTTCAGGTCCCTGGCAAACCCTGCGCTTTCAATGGGTCTTGCTTTTCATGCCTGTAAGATGAGGAGGCTGCGCTAGAAGTTTAAATTGGGTCACATTCACACCGGCGCCCAACACAGAGCCTGGCCGAGTTTCCATCGCCCTGTCCCTGGACGCCTCCCAGCTCCAACACTAGAGGCCTCCAGGCCTGCAGCTGACATGATGGAGTGTGTACCCTGCACGTTGCAGCCTCTTCCCAGGCTGGCTGCGGAAACCGAGCCTCCTCCAGACAGCGGGGCTGCTCCACTCGCACGGATCAAGTCCGGAGCCTCATTAGTCATGTCAGATGACATAGTTAACACTCGCGGCCGGCACAGCCACTTCATCAAAAGCTCCTCTGTGCCTGGCTCCAGCGCTGCCGCTGAGGAACTACTGTGTGTGGAGCAGGCAGCACATCAGAGGAGCAGCGCCAGAGAGTTCCAAATTGGTTTTGATTAATTGCATAGACCTATCTTTAATTGGTGCCAGGGTAGCGGCCAGAGACCTTATGGGAAAGCAGGATGTTATGCTTCCACTCCCTGAAGTCCCATAAAGCAGTGAAAGATGAGGAACAGAATCATTGCTCGTTGAAAATTTATCGACCGTGCAGACCCAGAAAACACAAATAACTATCTGAATCGAAACCTAACCTCATTTCCCAACTCAGGTTCCCCTCCGCTCTGCCTGCCTGCCGGCCGAGCACAAGGTGTGATTTCTAAGAACCGAGTGCTTGGCGGCCTTGGCTTTCCCCAGCCGGCTTCTCCTCCTGGACAGGATGCCCCGCCGTACCTGGAAAGGCACCTGCCCTCAGCCACTTCTCTCCCATCAGCCCTCACGTCCTGTGAACTGATGTCGGGGCTCATTCCCTTGGCATGAACATCCATTCACAGCTCCTTCTCTCTTTTCTGCCCCGTTGGGGATTTAAGACACAGGTGTGGAGTGGGTACCGAATCCAAGCGCTGTTCTGCTGTCACAGGGACTAAGAATGGAGTCACGTACAGACCTGTCCCTCAGGGCCATGGTTATTAGATAGGAGCAAAGAGAGGACAGGTGCACAGATGAAGAGTGCACAACCAGGGGCATCACACCGAAGATGGAAGTACTGGGATTTGGTTTCAAGGGACTTCAGTTCAAACCTCAGCTCTGATCCAGACAGTCACTTTGATTCTCTGAGTTTTAACTATACCACGGCTCACTAGGCTAATCCTCCGCCTAGTGGCGCTGGCACACCGGGTTCTAGTCCTGGTCGGGGCCCCGGATTCTGTCCCGGTTGCCCCTCTTCCAGGCCAGCTCTCTGCTGTGGCCAGGGAGTGCAGTGGAGGATGGCCCAAGTCCTTGGGCCCTGCACCCCATGGGAGACCAGGAGAAGTACCTGGCTCCTGCCTTCAGATCAGCGCGGTGCACTGGCCGCAGTGCGCCAGCCGCGGCAGCCATTGGAGGGCGAACCAATGGTAAAGGAAGACCTTTCTCTCTGTCTCTCTCTCTCTCTGTCCACTCTGCCTGTAAAAATAAATAAATAAATAAAAAACCTTGTGTTTAAAAAAAAAGTGGATAATAATACACATGTAGCGATTGCCAGGCTTGTGAGGCTTAGCAGGGTAGAAAGCACTCAGCACAAGGCCTGATGCTGAATGATGAATGTTGCCAACTGAATATGTATCCCTGTGAGACTCTGACAGAGTGCTGTGTGACAGCCCATCGAACCCTGGAGCAAACAATTACCGATCGGACTCTGTGCCAGGCTCTTTGGAGGAGGAGGCATGGTTGAGCAGGCGTTTTAGTGCAGAGGGTTCAGCCAGCCGCCAAGTGGAGTGCGGGTTCGAGTCCTGGCTAGTCTGCTTCCAATTCAGCTCCCACTCATGCATCCTGAGAGGTAGTGAATGACAGCTTAGGTGCTTGGGTCCCTGCCACCCATTTGGGGGGCTTGAATGGAGTTCTGAGCTCCTGCCTTTGATCTGGCCCAGCCCTGGGTGTTGAGTCTTCTGGGGGGAGTGAACCAGTAGGTGGAAGATTTCTCTGTCTCCTTCTTTGGCTTTCCAATAGATGAAAAATAAATAAGCATTACAAAAAATTAGGAAGCTCAGTCCTGCCGTGGTGGGTGTGAGAGTGAGAGTATCGGGGAGCAGGGACGATGAAGCAGGGTAAGAAGGCAAAGGTTACAGGTGTGCTGACACCCGTCTACTGGAGCTGGTGGGGAGGAAAGGAGATGGTGGTCACTTCTACCTGGGAAATCAGGTTGGATTTGCTTCAAGAGGCAATGCTTGGGCTAAAATACTGACGCGTGAGAAGATTGCACTTGGAGACAAAGAAGGAAGGGTATCCATGCAGTGCCACAGCTCCTTGCTTTCATCTCCACAGCAAGCAGAGGTCACCCCTTGGGACCTTGGAATCAGCTACTCGCATTGTACAGAGTTCTTTCCCCAAAGCTGGTTCCTTCTTGACATTTACAGCCCTATATTTGCTTATTAAAAATGTACATTATGAAAATACTAGGCATGGATTTCAAATTTTTCCACCAAAACAAAGTTATCTTTTAATTCTGTTTTTCCACCAATTTGTTGAAATATACATTTTCTATGAATTTCTTGGAGACACCTCATATTACAAGCACAGTGCCTGGCATGCAGAGGGTCCTGAATTCCTTTTTTTTTTTTTTTTTTCCATAAAGTGAAACAGTGATGAAAGCCTGGAGCCAAGGCCAGGGGCATCGGAGTAGGAGGTAGCAGAGAGGTGGCTTCTGAGCCCCACCCTGAAGACAGGGCCAGATGACGATGTGAGGGGGCGTTGGAAAAGAATCAGCAGCATTAGATCAGATGGCGTGTAAGTCCCTTCCACTCGGCTTCTCTGTTCTTTCGGAGCAGAACAGTCCTCGGCCCCTTCCTGGGCCCCTCACTCCCGGCCCTCGTCTCCACTCCACCCTGTCTGGAGGCTGTGTGGACATCTGACACACCGTTTCCTGCCAGGGTAAATCGTAGGCTGATGTGTGGCGCTTGTTCGCGGTTTTTACCATCCCCCAGGCGGCGGTGGCCCCATAACTCAGGGTGGAGGCTGCAGGCAGAGCCAGCTTTCCCCGGGATGGTGAAGCAAGGGGAGCTGTTTACCCACCAGCACTCCCTGGCCTGCTCCCAGCTAATTTTACGTCCTCTGGTCCGGGATGGTCTCCTTAGCTGGCTGCATCTCAGGTCACTTGCTGGAGCACTGGAGTGTGACCGTGTAACTGCTGCCGCTTCCTGTCCCAGGGCTCCTGGGCTTCGGGGAGCATGGGAAAGAGGCAAGGAGAGCTTTCTAGGAGGCAAGGCCAAAGACTAACTCACATAGTGCTTAACAATTCACAAAACCCCAGAGAACTCCTAGTCACCCTGCAAGACCCTACCCCTTTTTACCTGCTTTCAACTCTCCCAGGCAGAGCTAATTTTTTCCCTCTGCACTTGGAAGAGCCTGATTTATCACCTTCATTATCTTGGAATTAATTTGTGTGTGTCTCCTTTTCTCCACTAAACCATCAGCTCCTTGGGTGTAGATGTCTTCTCTCCCTGGAAAACATGTTTTTTTCTTTCTTAAAAAGTAATTTTAGCTTCTACCTTTTTTAGGTTTAAAAGTAATATTTACAGTCAGAATAACCTTTAAGAACTGTACATATGAAAATATAATGAAGAAAATTTGAAATCACCTGTAATTTTCATCTCCTAGATAAACTACTATTCATATTTTAGGTTTACCAAGTCCTTTTTTTCCCATACAGAAAGTAAAAATGGGACTATATAATGCATGTGATTTTATAGTCTGATTTTATCGCCTATTCTACGATGAACAACTCCAAGTACCACCAATGATCCTTGAAAAACATCATTTTTAATGGGTGCATTGTTTCATTTAAAGGGTATACCACAATTTACCTAATCATTTCCACATTGTAGGATCTCAAGGTAATTTCCTTCATTTTTTCTTTCTTCTTTTGGTAAAAAGATTTATTTATTTGAACTGAAGAGTGACAGAGAGAAGTGGGGGCGGGGGAGGAGAGAGAAAGAGAGAGAGATTGATTTATCTTCTAGGCTGGTTCACCTAGTTCATTGCCCAAACGCATGCGAGAGCTAGGGCTGAGTCAGGCTGGAGCCAAGAGTCAGGAACTCCATGTGCATCTCCCATGTTAGTGGCAGGCTGCAGGCAGGGCCAGCTTTCCCCAGGATGGTGAAGCAAGGGGAACTGTTTACCCACCAGCACTCCCTGGCCCTGCTCCCAGCTAATTTTATGTCCTCTGGTCCGGGATGGTCTCCTTAGCTGGCAGCATCTCTCTATCATCTGCTGCCTCCCAGGGTGCCTTAGCAGGAAGCTGGATCAGAACCTTGGGGTAGCTGGACCTTGAACCAGGCTCTCGGGTATGGGCTGAGGGCATCCCAAGCAGTGGGTTAACCTGCTGCGCCACAACGCCCACCCCGATTTCCTTCTTTTACTATCTTACAGACAATGTTGCAGCGAGTCACTGTATATGTAAATTCTCATATGCCTCTTGGACTATTTCCTAAGAGATGGAATTCCTAGGTCAACTAGTTTAAAACTCTTTAAAGCTTCATGGTACTTACTGCCAGATTGCTCTGAGAAAGCACCACCAATTTAAAATTTCACCAATGTGAGAGCGTGCCCATCTCATGGTAGCCTGACCTACATTGTGACCCCATGTGTGTCTTTACCAAGTCCAGTGTTCTTTCCGCAATCAGCAGAAATTACACAACCAAACGTAAGGTTGTCTTCTTCCATGACATCAACCTGGTAGGATACATTTATTTAAATGCTGCTCCTGCTGCTTTAAGCATTTCTGTAATTTTTATTTGAAGGTTGGCTACAAAGCAGACAACACATTCTTTTGCATCTAAGTTACAAGACATCTCTTGGGGAAATGATTTTCGGTTTTTGACAGCAGACCAAAGGTCCTTGGAACTCATGGTAAATGAGATGAGAGGCTGCATCTGGCTCTGGGGTCAGAGCTGGGGTGTCACGTTACAGTACTGAGACTGAGGTCTACTTGTGACTCATCACGGGGAGGCCCCCAGGAGTTCTGGACAGTGGGGCATCATCAGAACAAGGATTGAGCCTCCTAGCCTCCCGCCCACCAGGCAAAGAGAGAAAAAGAATTCTCAGCAACAAGGCACAGATTTCCAAAAGGGATGTTAACTACAATAACAGCGGCGCTTTCAAAAGCAACAGTGGACACCAACAGACTGTAGGATGCTGTCTTGAAAATGTGGGCAGAAAATAAACCTCAGACCAGAATAATAAATGAGTTATGAGTAATAAATGAGAGTCAAACTTTCGGACATTTTCAGAACAACAAGCTGGGCTGGAACACAAACTCGTGTTGGTGGTTCAGTGACGGAGAAACTCCAGCAGGAAGAAAGCTGAATTCAGGAAGGAGACCCAAGATGAGGGTGTGGGAGACGAGTGAGGTGATGGAACCCACGCAGCAGACTGGTGGCATCTCGGGAATTTTGAGGAGGGTGTTAGATACTTGTTACTAAAGGTTAAATTATATAAATCTACAAGTAACTGAATGATTTAAAACATAAAGGTAACAATACTCCCAATGCTTCACTTTTCATTTTTATTCAGTTTTTAAAAGATTTATTTATTTATTTGAAAGGCAGAGTTGAGAGAGAGAGAGAGAGGTCTTACATCCTCTGGTTCACTGCCCAAATGGGCTGGGCCAGGCTGAAGCCAGGAGCCAGGAGCTTCATCCGGGTCTCTCATGTGGGTGGCAGGGGCTCAAGCACTTGGGCCATCCATCTTCCATGCCTTCCCAGGTGCATTAGCAGGGAGCTGCATGGGAAGTAGAACAGCCAGGACTTGAACTGGAGCTCCCATATAGGAAGCTGGCATTGGAGGCAGTGGCTTAACTCACTGCACCAGCCACCCTTTTTTATTATTTCACTACACTGTGACATTCTCTATACTTTGGAGGCATTTATTTCTCTGGTATATATAGGTAGAAATACTACAGAATTGTGTGCTACTGTGCACCTCTCCCCAAACTCCACATTCAGCAATGTCTTCTTGGGATCTCCAATATTTACACTCTAGAACCAACAAATGCTTCAAACTGGGGTCTCCCTAACCCTTTCCATGTGAGAAAGGATTACTAGCACACCATTAAATATTAAAAAATGTATTATTTATTAATAGTATCCTAGGCATATACTCAGGAGAATTTAAAACGAATATCCACAAAAAAGTGTGCATGAATGTTCATAGAAGAATTTTGCAACACAGCCAAAAGATGGAAATGACCCAAAGGTCTATCAGCTGACAAAGTAATGAATGAAATGTGATCTATCCAGACAATAGAATCTCAGTCAGCCCTACAAAGGAATGAAGTACTGATATGCACTCCAACATGCATACACCTTGAACACATTATGCTAAGTCAAAGAATCGATGGCAAAAAGCCACATATTGTCTGATTACATTCATGCAAAACATCCAGAATAGGCAAATCCATAGAGACAGAAAGTAGATGAAAATTTGCTGGGGCTGGAGGTAGGGAACAGCAAGAATGACTACAAATGGGTCTAGAGTTGGGTTTTGTTGAATGAAAAGGTTATAAAATCAGTGTGAAGTTTGCAAAATTGTGCAAATATACTCAAAAGGATTGAATTGCATATTTTAAATGGATGTGCCTTACCATGTGTGTATAATATTTCAATAAAAAGGTAGGCAAGGATGCAAACATCTAATCTGGGGGCCAGTGCTGTTGCTTAGTAGACTAAGGCTCTGCCTGCAGCATTGGCATTCCACATGGGCGTTGGTTCATGTCCCAGCTGCTCCTCTTTCGATTCAGCTCTCTACTTGTGGCCTGGGAAGGCAGTGGAAGATGGCCAATTGCTTGGGCCCCTGCACCCATGGGGGAGACCTGGAAGAAGTTCCTGGCTTTGGATCAGCCCAGCTCCAGCATTTGTGGTCATTTGGGGAGTGAACCAGTGGATGGAAGACCTTTCTGTCACTCCCTCTCTCTGTTACTCTACCTCTCAAATAAATACATCTTTTAAAAAAAATCTAATTTGGGGCCAGTGCTGAGGCATAATGGGCAAAGCCACTGCCTGCAGCACTGACATCCCTTATGGGTGCCAGTTCGTGTCCTCACTGCTCCATTTCTGATCCAGTTCTCTGCTAATCTGCCTGGGAAGGCAGGGAAGGATGGCCCTGGTTCTTTGTCACCCTGCACCCATGTAGGAGATCTGGAAGAAGCTCCTGGCTCCTGGCTTCAGCCTGGCCCAGCCCTGGGCTGTGGTGGCCATGTGGGGAATGAACCAGTGGATGGAATATTCTCTCTCTCTCTCTCTCTCAATCTCTCTCTCTCTGTAACTCTAACTTTATTTAGTTATTTGAAAGGGTTACACAGAGAGAAAGTGCAGGGGCCAAGCCCTTGGGCCATCCTCTGCTGTTTTCCCAGGCACATTAGCAGGGAGCTGGATCAGAAGTGGAACAGCTGGGTCTTGAACCGACACCCATGTGGGATGCCAGCATTGCAGGTGGTGGCTTAACCAGCTGCGCTATAAGGCCAATAAATAAATCTGAAAACAACAAAAACAAAACAAAATCTAATTTGGGGATTTGGGCAAGTAGTTAAAAGTAAGCTGGAATTAAAATACAAAAACAAAAGAAAAGAAAAAACAAGCAAACCCTCCAAGTGCCTAGACGATGGAAGGGGTGGAGATTAGACAGAGAAGATGCTAAGGATCCTGAAATCGTCACAGTGAGCCAGAGACGGTGAGGAACTGAACAGTGTTCAGCCGAGTGTGCACATTAACATGCAAGGACACCCACGGGAAGACCAGAGTTAGAAAGCAGAACTTCCAAACCACAGTGAGAACAGAAGGGGTGAAAAGAAACAAAAATCAAAAGGAGGCAGGAGAAGAGCAAAGAAGAAACAAGGAAAACACATGGTAGACAGACAGGTCAAATACAAGGGGAGAAACAGAATAAGAAGGAATAGAAACTCGCCTAAAAATAGGCAAAGATTCTCAGATTGGATTTAAAAAAAAATTCAGCTGACTGCTGATTGCAGAATCCACGCAATAGATAATGATGTGACATGTTCAAAGGGTGAGGACGAGGCACCAGGCAAAGACGAAGTCAAAGAATGCAATGGGAATGGATCGTGAGGCAGAGAGGCATTAGAAAGCACACTTCGACGAGGAAAGGGACAGTTCCCCAGGGAGGTATGACAAAGCCTGACAGAACGGCAGAAGTGCAGCCATTCCCATGGTGGCAGATTTTTAACCTCCCTTCCTGGTCGAGTGGGCTGGCAATGTCCGAGTAAGGCTACAGAAGAGTTGAACAACACAGCGGTCCAACTTCCTTCCTTCTGTCTGTGGCTCCTTCAGTTCCCAGCCCTTGAAAATTCCTGCTTCCTGTACGGCATCAGTCGCCAAGCCTTGTGGATCCTCACTGCTGAATGGGTTGCTCCCTCGCCAGCACCCTCTCATCCTGCACCCAGTGCTGGGGCTCAAGCTTTAGTCGCCTCTTGTCTGCACTACTGTAATTCTAACCGACCCCCTTATATTTATGGAGACTTGCTTAAATGACATGTGCTTTAGTAGTTTCATTTTGATGCTAGAAGCCAGATCTTTGGATTAAGCCAGGGAAAGGTACTGCCATATTTCAGCCCCAGCAAAATTCTCTTGACTGAACTGAGCTCTGACGTGAAGCTATTGGCTACTTGCGGGAATGGTTTAAGAGAAAAATCCTGGGACCCTCACTCAGTCTGGTACACTACTCAGACATCATAAAGCACTCTATGAGCAATCTTGGGGAGAGATATTCTGAAATCTCATACTTGTCATGTCCAAACAGTCTATCTGCATTTTATGGACAGTAAATCTTCTAACTAGTATTTCCACTTTGCTAGGGATACTAGCAAATTCACAGCCAAATTTGCTGGCTTTCTTTAACAAGTATAAAGAATAATAATACTAACAGCTAATATTTACTGGATGCTTACACAGAACCACACACTGTTCCAAATGCTTTACATATATAACCCTCCTCTCATTCCACGAGACAGCGCTATTATTATTCCCATCTTAAGAGAGCCAGCAAGGCTTCCTAACTGGCCTAGGAGGTACAGCTAGTAAGATGCAGCGCTAGACCCAGGCTGCACGCAATGAGTTTCCCGAGTCCACGCGCTTCAGCATCACGCTATTCCCTCATGTGTTTAGGATATGCACGCCTGCGCTGTAATCAGAGCCTCTGGCTCTGTTCATTTCCTACGCTTATACTTCTACTTTTGGTGAACATGTGGTAATAGGGACCAAATGATTCTGCACAGAACACATGAACCAGTGGTTTTAAGACACTGACACCAGGCAACTAAAGACAGGGGCAAGTGAACTAAGCCTTAAGATGGCCTGCTTACCTCCCGGAGGGGTCTCTGGGCCCTGCTGCCCGAGCAACCCCAGGCTGAGCCTGAGTTTCCCAGATTGAGGAGATGGGGTTGGGAATCCCAGGAGGTCAATGTTGCTGGAGTCGTGGGGAAGAACAGTGAGGAGGAGTGAACAAAAGCGGGCTCCAGCTGGCGCCGCGGATCACTAGGCTAATCCTCCGCCTGCGGCGCCGGCACACCAGGAGTCTAGTCCCGGTCGGGGTGCTGGGTTCTAGTCCCCGTTGCTCCTCTTCCAGTCCAGCTCTCTGCTGTGGCCCGGGAAGGCAGTGGGGGATGGCCCAAGTGCTTGGGCCCCTGCACCTGAATGGGAGACCGGGAGGAAGCACCTGGCTCCTGCCTTCGGATCGGCGTAGCTCCGGCCGTAGTGGCCATCTGGGGGGTGAACCAACGGAAGGAAGACCTTTCTTTCTGTCTCTCTTTAATTCTTTCAAAAAAAAAAAAAAAAAAAAAAAAAAAAAAAAAAGCGAGATCCAGCTCTCTGTTGAGGGGTCCCCTGCAAGACTTTAGCTGGGAAACCCCCATGAGGCCAGAGAGAGAACTGCCCACAAGGGTTAGAAGGAACCATTCCTGGGGCAGGCATTCGGCCTAGTAGTTAAGAAACTGGTCAGTATTGCTGCATCCTGGGTCAGGATACCTGGGTTTGATACCCAGCTCTGGCTCCTGACCCCAGCTTCCTACCAATGCAGACTCTGGCGCGAAGCACAAGGCTCAAGGAATCAAGTTCCTGCCACTCACACAGTGGGCCGGACCTGGATTGAGTTCCCCACTCCTGGCTCTGCCCCCACCCCAACCCAGCTGTTACAAGTGAACTAATGGATGGAATGCGAGCTCGTTCTCTCTCTTGATCTGCCTGTTAAACAAATAAATAAATGAGAAACCATTCTCAGAGATCACACACACAGGTCCACTTTCTGTTCCCCACATGCAGAGTGGTAAGACAGACTTCACTGCTAAGACAGGCATCACATGGGTTTTGCCACAACAGTGGGGCAAAATTAGTTGTAGAATAGTGTTACCACAGTCTCAGCTCACAAAACCGAAAATAAAAGCCCAAAGCAATTTCCAAAAAGCAAAAGGACCTAGACTAAGGGACCTATAATGAGGAGAAAAATCAGTCAGTGGAACCTGAAGACAATAGGTAGAACTGAAAAAGACATAACCAGGGTCAGCACTGTGGCATAGCAGGTAAAGCCACCACCTGCAGTGCTGGCATCCCATATGGGCACTGGTTTGAGTCCTGGCTGCTCCACTTCCGATCCAGCTCTCTGCTATGGCCTGGGAAAGTAGTGGAAGATGACCCAAGTCCTCAGGCCCCTGCACTCACATGGAGACCCGGCAGAAGCTCCTGGCTCCTGGCTTTGGATTGGCACAGCTCCGGCCATTGCAGCCAACTGGGGAGTGAACCAGTGGATGGAAGACATCTCTGCCTCTGCCTCTCTATAATTTTACCTTTCAAATAAAATAAATAAATCTTTTTTTTTTTTAAAGATATAACCATGTACTAGGGCAGGTGTGTGGTACAGCAGCTAAGTCACTGTTTGGGGTACCTACATCCCATATTGGAGAGCCTGGTTCTGGTCTCCAGTACTCTACTTCTGATGCCATCTTCCTGCTAATATATTCCCTGGGAGGCAGCAGATGACGGCTCAAGTATTTGGGTCCCAGCCACCCACATGGGAGACCTGGATTGAATTCTGGGCTCCTGGTTTTGGCCTGGCCTAGCCCTAGCTGTTGTGGCTATCTGGGGAATGATCAGTAGGTGGAAGATCTCTCTGTGTCTCTGAAAACACACACAAACAAAAACATAACTGTTCTATGTAATCAATAACCCAGGAGAAGACTGAGTTTATTAAGCAGGGAAATGAAAGGTATGAAAAAGACCTAAACCTCAGTCACAACAAACATACCCTGGTTTCTAAACACTCTTCTCCAAAAAAAGCAACAGGACTCTGCAGAGACATGGCTGATCACAGGACTGAAGCAGGAAAAATACAAAGCTATCTTGGAGTATGTTGCAGTCAGAAGCTAAGGAAGTGTTAAAAAAAAAAAAAAAAAAAAAGACCAAAACCCAACAGCATACATAACCATTTGTCAAAGAAACACACAGCCAAGCCGGAAGAGCATCACTGGCCAGAGTCAGGATACTACGAGCCACAAAATAAATAACACATTGTTGGATTACGACCCAAAATAAAAAATTAACATGAGTCCAAATTGTTACAAGGAAATAACTGAATAAATAAACTGGGAGATAAGAATTCCAGGGGCCAGCACTGTGGCACAGTGGGTAAAGTCACCGCCTGTGGTGCTGGCATCCCATTTGGGTGTCAGTTTGAGTCCCTGCTGCTCCTCTTCTGACCCAGCTCTCTGCTATGGCCTGGGAAAGCAGTGGAAGATGGCCCCAGTTCTTGGGCTCCTGTATTCACATGGGAAACCCAGAGAAGGCTGTTGATTCCTAGCTTTGGATTGGCCCAGCTCCAGCTGTTGTGACCATTTGGAGAGTGAACCAGCAGATGGAAGACCTCTCTCTCTGTGTTTTGCCCTCTCTGTGTAACTCTGCCTTTCAAATAAATAAATCTGAAAAAAAAATAAAGAATTCCGAATAATGTATTTAGCACCCTCTCTAGGGGAAAGAACTTAATTACTTTGCTGCCTTTGAGTGTGGGCTGAACTTAATGACTGGCTTCCGGAACATGGAAAAGGAAAAACAAAAAAGTGGCTTCACAGCAAAGAGCTGGCCAAGTGAAGGAAGCTAACACCAGTGATGCCATGCGGCTCTTACAGACCCTCTATTATAGCATAATGAGAAGAGTAATTCACTGTTATCCTTTCCCCAAACCCACAACCAGGCTAATCACAATACCAGACAAACCCAAATTAAGGGACATTTTACCAAATACATGACCAATATACCTCAAAACCTTCAAGGCCTTTTAAAACAAGAAAAGACTGAGAAACCTCCATGGATCAGAGGAAAATAAGGAGACAGGCTTTTTAAATGCAATGTGATATCCTTAATTTGTTCCTGGAACAAAAAAAAAAGAGACATTAGTGGACAAACTTGAAATGTGAATCAACTGTGCAATTTAGTTAGCAGTAACGTACCGATGTTGATATCTTTGGTTTTTTATTTTGTTTTTAAACAATTCCCAAACGCCAGCATCCTATATGGGTGCCAGTTTGAGTCCCAGCTGCTCCACTTCTGGGCCAGTTCCCTGCTAATGTGCTTGGGAAAGCAGCAGAGGATGGTCTAGGTCCCTGGGCCCCTGCCCCCACGTTGGGAGACCTGGAAGAATCTCCTGGCTTCGGCCTGGCCCAGCCCCAGTTGTTGCAGCCATCTGGGGAGTGAACCAGCAGATGGAAGATATCTCTCTCTTTCTCTGTGTAACTCTTTCAAATAAATAAATAAATATTTTAAAAATTACTAAAAAACAAAAATACCCTCAACTCCCAGTTGTTGTTTTTTTAAAAGATTTACTTCTTTCTTTTTTTTTTTTTTTAAAGATCTATTTATTTTACTTGAAAGTCAGAGTTACACAGAGAGAGGAGAGGCAGAGAGAGAGAGAGAGAGAGAGAGAGAGAGAGAGAAAGGTGTTCCATCCACTGGTTCACTCCCCAATTGGCCACAACGGCCAGAACTGTGCCGATCCAAAGCCAGGAGCCAGGAGCTTCTTCCAGGTCTCCCATGCCGGTGCAGGGGCCCAGGGGTTTAGGCCATCTTGTACTGCTTTCCCAGACCATAGCAGAGAGCTAGATGGGAAGTGGAGCAGCCGGGACTCGAACCGGCACCCATATGGGATGCCAGCACTGCAGGTAGTGGCTTTACCCGCTACGCCACAGCACTGGCCCCTTATTTCTTTTTTTGAAAGGCAGGGTGTCAGAGAGAGAGGGAGAGATCGAGAAATAGAGCTTTCATTTACTGGTTCACTCCCCAAATGTCTGCAACAGCCAGGGATGAGCCAAGCTGAAGCCAGGTCACCCATGTGAGTGGTAGGAACCCAGGTGGTGAAGCCATCACATGTTGCCTATCAGCAGGAAGCTGGATCAGAAGTGGACTCGATTCCAGGTTATCTGATATGGGATGCAGACATTGAAAGCTGTGGTTTAACTCCCCGTGTAGTAACACCTACCTAGTATCTCGGTTTTGATAAGCACACCACAGTACTGGGGATAACAACGTTAGAGGAGACTGAAACTGAATGGGGGACCTAGAACACTGCACTATCTTTGCAAATTTTCCACAAATCCCAAATTATTCCAAAATAAAGAAAACCTATTTTAAAAACCCAACTGAAACTTTTAGAGAAGGAAACTATAATAAATAGTTTAAACATTTCAAGATTAGTGAATTTGGAGACACAGCATAGAAACCATACAAAAAGACACAAAGAGAGGAGAAAAAGAAACAGTTGAAGAACACAGCATCAGTGAACTGTGGGATTTTTTTAAAAAAAGATTTATTTATTTTACTTGAAAGTCACAGTTACACACAGAAAGAGAAGGAAAGGCAGAGAGAGAGAGGGAGAGAGAGGGGGAGAGAGAGAGAGAGAGTCTTCCATCTGCTGGCTCACTCTCCAGATGGCCGCAATGGCTGGAGCTGTGCCGATCCGAAGCCAGGAGCCAGGAGCCAGGGGCCAGGGACCAGGGGCCAGGGGGTGCTTCCAGGTCTCCCACATGGGTGCAGGGGCCCAAGGGCTTGGGCCATCTTCCACTGCTTTCCCAGGCCATAACAGAGAGCTGGATCAGAAGTGGAGCAGCCAGGTCTCGAACCGGAGTCTATATGGTATGCTGGCACTGCAGGTGATAGCTTTACTCCCTACGCCACAGCGCCAGCTCTGTGGGAAACATTCAAGTGGCTTAATATAAATGTAACTGGAGGAGCCAGTGCTGTGGCATAGTGGGTAAAGCTACTGCCTGCAGTGCCAGCAACTCATATGGGCACCGGTTCGAGTCTCTGCTGCTCCACTTCTGATCCAGCTCTCTGCTATGGCCTGGGAAAGCAGTGGGAAGATGTCCCAAGGCCTTTGGGCCCCTGCACCGGTGTGGGAGACCTGGGAGAAGCTCCTGGCTCCTGGCTTTGGATTGACACAGCTCTGACTGTTGCGGCCAATTAGGAGTGAACCAGCAGATGGAAGACCTCTCTCTCTCTCTGCCTCTGCCTCGCCTTCTCTCTCTGTATAACTCTGACTTTCAAATAAATAAATAAATCTTAAAAAAAGAAAAAAGAAAGAATGGTAAGTTTTCCAAATTCGGTGAAAGCTTTAGACCCACAAATCAAAACGGCTCCATGAACCCTAAGCATAAGAAACATGGCTCAGCTTAATCAAATTTGCATCAAGTCAGTAATAAAATATTTTTTTAAAAATATTTTAAAATTTATATGGAAGGTAGGGTGAGGGAGAGAGAGAGAGAGAGAGAGAGAGAGAGAGAGAGAGAGAGATATCTTCCATCCACTGGTTCATTCCCCAAATGGCCACAACGGATAGGGCTGGGTCAGGCCAAAGCCAGGAGCCAGGAGCTTCTTCCAGATCTCCCACATGGGTGCAGGAGCCCAAATACTTGGGCCATCTTCAACTGCTTTCCCTGTTGACATTACCTGGAAGATGGATCAGAAGTGGAGCAGTCAGGACACCAACCAGCGCCCATTTGGGATGTTGGCACTGCAGGTGGCGGCTTAACACACTTTGCCACAGTGCCGGCCCAAGAAAAAGTTTTAGCATGCCAAGAGTGGCCAGTGTTGTGGTGCAGCAGGTTAAGCGCAGCCTGTGACGCCAGCATCCCGTACTCGAGCAGAGTCCTGGCTGCTCCAATTCCAATCCAGTTCCCTGCTAATGTGCCGAGAAGGCAGCAGAAGGTGGCCCAAGTACATGGGCCCTGCCATCCATGTAAGTGATCTGGATGGAGTTCCTGGCTCCTAGTTTTGGCCTGGTCCAAACAGCAGATGGAAGATCTTTCTTTTTCTCTTTGCCTTTCAAATAAATAAATCTCAAAAACAAAAAAGAGTGGCAAGAGACAGAATATACAGAGGAACAAAGGTGAGATTTATAGGCAGGGCAGACATTTGACACAGAGTGCCAGGGTTCGAGTCTTGCCTCTGCTTCCAATTCCAGCTTTCTGCTAATGCACACCCTGGGAGGCAGCAGGTGATGGCTCAAGGACCTGGGTCCCTGTCACCCACATGGGAGACCCAGATTGAGTTCTGGGCTCCTGGCTTTTTAGCCTGGCTCAGCCCTAGCTGTTGTGAGCATTTGGGGAGTGAATTGGCAGATGTAAGATGTCTCCATCTTTCAAATAAATGAAAATAAAGACAAAAACAAGCCAGAAGATGAGCAAAATCTTTAAGGTACAGAAAGAAAAAAAGAACTGTCAATTTATAACTGTAAATATCTTTCAAAAACAAATGTGGCAATAGGGAAAGAATACTCTTTTCAACAAGTGCTGCTTAAGCAACTGGATAGCTACATGTGAAAGAAAGAAGCTGAGCACTTGAACCACTACAAACACAAACACAAAACGCATCAAAGACCTAACTAGAAGATCTAAACTGATGGAGTTCTTGGAGCTCATCAAAATTTAGGGGCGGGCATTTGGTACGACACTTAAGATGCCAATTGGGACCCCCACTTCCCATATCACAGTGCCTGGTACAAGTTCCGTGCACCCTGAGAGGCAACAGGTGATGGATAGCTCAAATACTTGGGTCCCTGCAACCCACTTGGAAAACATGGATTGGGTTTTAAGATCCTGGATTCAGTTCTGGCTGTTACAGATGTGAACCAGTAGATGGAAGATCTCACTTTTTCAAATTAATGAAAAAAAATTTTTTTTTAATTTAGAACTTTTGTGCACCAAAGAATATTATCAAGAAAGTGAAAAGAAAATCCACAGAATGGAAGGAAATATTTACAATATATCTGATAAGGGTCTCATATCCAAAATATGAGAACTGTCACTGAAATGTATACTTTAAAATGCTTAAAAAGGGAACTGACACTGTGGTACAGAAGGTTAAGCCACCTCCTGTGATGCTGGCATCCCAGATGGGCACTGGTTCAAATTCCAGCTGCTCCACTTCCTATCCAGCAGCCTGCTAATATACCTGGGAAAGCAGTGGGAGATGGCCCAAGTCTTTGGGCCCCTGACACCCAAGTTGGATCTTCTAATGGAATTCCAGGATTCTGGCTTTGGGCTGGTCCAGCCCTGGCCGTTGTGGCTATTTGGGTAGTGAAACAGAGAATAGAAGCTCTGTCACTTCCTCTCTTTCCCTCTCTCTCTCTCTATAACTCTAACTTTCAAATAAATAAATAATTCTTTAAAGAAAATTTTTTTTGGAATAGCAATTCCTTCACCCATCAAACATTTATTGAACAGTACCAGGTATGATTTATTCTGGATGTAGGAAACGCAAAAAAGAATCAGATGTGGTTTTGGCTTTTAAGCTCATGGGCTTGTAGAGGAGAAAAGATGTGTTCAAACAATTAACTTCAATTAAGTATTACAGTTTCCATGATATATGAATAGGCTCCGTACACGGAGGGTGGCTGCTGCGCCCAGCCGTGGGAAGACAGCAATGGTGATGCTGAAGTGGAGAGCTGCACCATCTTATGTATGCTCCTATTTTTAATGCATTCTTGCATTTGAAACCTTCACCCCCTTTGACTGGGCTTCCTGTTTAAACTGCGTTACTATGGAAATGTCATGGCACAGGATGGTGGCGTTTACAAGTGAAGTGTATGGAATTTTTAGAACATCTAGAAACGCAAGGCTAGAGTTTAGGGATGTAAGGCCTAATGATGTGACAGCATTTGTGACATCAGGCACTGTGTCACAAATGTAAACACACTCAGAAATCTGAGCCAGCACAGAGGAGATAGCTGAGAGCTTTATCAGGATTTACGTGCCCAGATGAGAGAAAAAAAAAAGAACACGAGAAATATTAAAAACACAAAACATACACGGCTGGGGAAGAACCTCTGGAAAAATAAATGACAGAATGCCAACATTTACTTACGAATACACAACTCT